TATTGTCATCTTGCCCATTCGACTTACTTGCAAAGTACATCATAAGAAGTGCCAGGCTGGATGAAGCTCAAGCTGGAATCAGAATTGCTGGGAGAAATACCAATAACCTGAGATATGCAGATGATACCATCCTAATGGCAGAAAGTGAAGAGGAGCTAAAGAGCCTCTTGATTAAGATGAAAGAGAGTGAAAAAGCTGCTTAAAACTCAACATTCAGAAAACTAAGATCATGACCTCTGGTCCTATCACATCACGGCAAATAGGGAAAAAAAGGAAAAAGTTACAGGCTTATTTTCTTGAGCTCCAAATTCACTGCAGATGGTGACTGCAGCCATGAAATTAAAAGACTCTTCTCCTTGGAAGAAAACCTATGACAAACCTAGACAGCCTGTATTAAAAAGCAGAAACAACACACTGCCAGCAAAGGTCCGTCTAGTCAAAACTATGGTTTTTCCAGTAGTCATGTATGGATGTGAGAGTTGGACCATAAAAAATGCTGAGTGCCGAAGAATTGATGCTTTTGAACTGTGGTGTTGGAGAAGACTTGAGAGTCTCCTGGACTGCAAGGAGATCCAACCAGTCCATCCTAAAGGAAATCAGTCCTGAATATTCATTGGAAGGACTGATGGTGAAGCTGAAACTCCAATACTTTGGCTACCTGATGCGTAGAACTGACTCCCTGGAAAAGACCCTGATGCTAGGAAAGATTAAGCGCGGAAGGAGAAAGGGGAGACAGTTGGATGGCATCATTGACTCAGTGGACACGCGTATGAGCAAATTCCAGAAGATAGTGAAGGACAAGGATGCCTTGCATGCTGCAGACCATGGGTGGCAAAGAGTTACTTAACAACTCAACAACAACAAAGATACTAAAGATTATGGAGCTGACTTTCTAAGGGGAAAGTAAGGGGGGACTAGGACTTTCCCAGTGGCTCAGCAGTGAAGAATCTGCCTTCAATGCAGGAGACACAAGAGATGTGGGTTTGATTTCTGGGTCAGAAAGATCCCCTGGAGGAGGAAATAGCAACTCACTAGAGTATTCTTGCCTGGAGAATCCCATGGACAGAGGAGCCTGGTGGGCTACAGTCCATAGGGTTGAAAAGTGTCAGACACAACTGAGCATGAAGGGGCTCTAAATGGGTTCACTGGCAATAAATGCTGGAGAGGGTGTGGAGAAAAGGGAACCCTCTTACACTGTTGGTGGGAATGCTAACTAGTACAGCCGCTATGGAGAACAGTGTGGAGATTTCTTAAAAAACTGGAATTAGAACTGCCATATGACCCAGCAATCCCACTTCTGGTCATACACACTGAGGAAACCAGATCTGAAAGAGACACGTGCACCCCAGTGTTCATTGCAGCACTGTTTATAATTGCCAGGACATGGAAACAACCTAGATGTCCATCAGCAGACGAATGGATAAGGAAGCTGTGGTACATATACACCATGGAATATTGCTCAGCCATTAAAAAGAATTCATTTGAATCAGTTCTAATGAGATGGATGAAACTGGAGCCCATTATACAGAGTGAAGTAAGCCAGAAAGATAAACACCAATACAGTATACTAACGCATATATATGGAATTTAAAAAGATGGTAACGATAACCCTATATGTAAAACAGAAAAAGAGACACTGTACAGAACAGAATTTTGGACTCTGTGGGAGAAGGCGAGGGTGGGATGTTTAGAGAGAACAGCATCGAAACATGTATATTATCTAGGGTGAAACAGATCACCAGCCCAGGCTGGATGCATAAGACAAGTGCTCGGGCCTGGTGCGCTGGGAAGACCCAGAGGAATCGGGTGGAGAGGGAGGTGTGAGGGGGGATCGGGATGGGGGAATACATGTAACTGCATGGCTGATTTATGTCAATGTATGACAAAAACCACTACAATATTGTGAAGTAGTTAGCCTCCAACTAATAAAAATAAATGAAAAAAAATTATTAAATAAATAAAAAAAACAAAACAATATGAAAAAAAATAAATGGGTTCACTGACTGAGCTTCCTGAAATACAATTGAGATTTTTATCATTTATTTTCTGGGGAGAGATTGTGTATTTGGATTTCAGAGAGGTTGTTAATTCACATAAAAATTGAGAACTATAGGTACAAAGTATTTTGCATAATTGGAAGTGTGTGACACTGATTTATTGTGATTCTTGTGCTGAGATAGTGTTTTAATTAATTTTGTAACATTTGTAAAGACAAAAATTACAAGTAGAGTACACAGTTATTTGCTCTCTGTAACATTTGGGATGCACAATGCCTCATTGCCCCTTAAATACTTGCGCATTTCTCTTCCTCAACGATCTTCTACTACATAGCCATTAATATACCGTCAAAATCAGAAAATAGCAAATGTATGTTTGTGTACATACATATATATAGATAGTGAAAGTGTTAGTCTCTCATTTGTGTCCAACTCTTTGCAGCCTTATGGGCTGTAGCCTGCCAAGCTCCTCTATTCATGGAATTCTCCAGGCAGATATACTGGAGTGGATAGCCATTCCTTTCTGCAAGGGATCTTCCCAACCCAGGGATTGAACTTGGTCTCCTGTGTTGCAGTCAGATTCTTTACTGTCTGAGCCACCAGGCAAGCCCCACATATATATGGACACAAAAACATAAATACTTTTGTATCTATAGTGTATTTGCATCTATTATATTTGTTGAAAGTCATTAAGTTTACAGTGGTATTTCCAGTTTCAGTTCATTATCACAGCATATATTTACTTTTTTAAAAAACTGAATTATAGTTTCTGTACAATATTACATGTTGTAGGTATACAATATAGTGATTCATAATTTTTTAATTGTCCTTATTTGATCAGTTTTTCTGTATGAAACTAATCTTCTGTCCAGGCTTTTCTCTTCCTCCCTGTGGTGGAGTATCACTACTCACCCCTCTCAAGTGCTGTGACACCCTGTGGCAAGCCATTCTTCATGCCTTCCTCATTGTTTTTGAGTTCAGGCCTTCTCCCAGACTCCTTTGGAAAGCTGTCTTTATCTTGTAGACTCCTATTAGCTTGCCCTGGGCCACGGTGCCTTTCCCTCTAGCATGTTCACCTGATGTCCTTAGCCTCAGATAATGATTTCTGGACTGAATATTTAGGAAGAAAGTGGAAGAGAAGGAGCTGAAATAAGTTTGAAGGGTTTAAAAACTAATATTTAACTGTTATAGAGTTAACTGGCATATGAATAGGAGAAATTATTTTTTTTATTCTTCTGTAACACAGGTTAAAAAAATTGATAAAATTGTAGTTTGGGGCTGCCATAGGAAACAAGTGACTAAAAGGAGATAAAAGTGTGGAAAAAATTTAGTTTGGAAATGAAACTTACTTGCAGAGGTGTATAGCATATCAGTGGTTACATTTACATATATTTTGACAAACAGAGTTTGTAAAACCTTTGAATGGCCTCCAAATTTATTGATGGTTGAAACTAATAGATTCATATTTAGAAGGGAGAAAACTTTAGATTTTGGGGCTCTGTTCTTGCACTGCCCAGAACTCTCAAGTAAGTGGATGATATGAAGATGTTTTCTTCATTAAGCCCAAATAATAACTTCCTTGACTCTTTACATGGCACACTAAATGTGTACTACTGAAACACTTATTAGTAGTGTGTATTACCCTAGAAATGCCGTTGAGAGTTGAAGTAGTCATTTTCGTTTTTATATCATTAGCTTAGTCCATAACTCCTAGTACTTTACTGCTAATCAGTGTATGTCAGCTAAATTACTGATCATTCAATTAAAATCTGTTTTCAGGACTATGACAGAAATACTGTGGAAATCTTGTTTTATGTTATCACTGTAAATGTTACTACCTGTAACAAAATTAACAATTCATAGTCCTCTATCATAAAAATTTGAGTTAGTTAACAATGAACCACCAATCATGTTACACTTCTGATTCCTTGGTATCCTCTCTGATATTTTGACAAGATCTTACTTTTTATGATTCACATATTTTAAAACTAGCTGTTTCCCTCCAGATGAAAACTCTTTATTTTCCTTAGTGAATGCTAGCCACAGTTGAAAATTAGAGGGAAAAGTTTAATCCTTTCCCCACCATATGAAAAGACTGATAGTAGTCATAAAAAACTTGTGATATCAGTTATATAGGATAAAGATGCCTGTTAAACTAACTGAACTACTAACAACTGGTGCCATGTTAATTGATAATTATTATATTATTTTTAATTTATTTTGACTTTGTATTACATATTTTCTGAAGTTATTGATGTTTTAGTAAAAATTAGCTGTACATTGGTATGGTCTGTTAGACTTGACATGAAGGGTTAGAGAAGTAGTATGTGAATCTTAGTGGAAGTTGTTTTACCTCCCTCCTTTCTCACTTTAGACAGAAGCATTTTTATAAAAAGTTTATAGAAGTATGAAAAGTATGACTTTTTGGAATCTAGTTTATAGAGTATACTTAAATTGATTGGTATATGGATAAATTAGAAATGGGTTTTTTTTGTGGCTTTCTTTTAACATACATTGTGATTAATTTTTCTTCTTTTTTTGTCAGCAGACTTCTACTTTTTCGTACTTACCTGATTTCTTGCCTTGTTTACAGACATTCATTAATTGTCTGTAATAAGCATTTATACTTCTTTTATGCTTTATTGCACTGAAGTAGCAATATATAATCCAAGTGGGATGTTCCTTCATGACTTTCATCTCTAGGAATGTATCACTGTTTAATTGTATCAGATACATTACTTTTTTTTTTAACATTACTTTTAAAAAACACAGGCTGTAGAATTATGAAGCTAAAAATCCTTTCCAAATACGAGTCTGACTTGATGCTAAGAAAATTAGGGCTAAGAACTTATTCTAATAGGGAGTCTTTATAGTATATTTTGTAATGTCACTTCCTTGTCCTCCAAGAAGTAATTGGATGAAAGCAATTTTGATTATAACACTGGTTGAATATTTAAGCTTGATAAGTTGAGTTTAACAGATTTCCCCCTCTGTTTCTTTTAGGTGAGTCTGGACTGGGAAAGTCAACATTAATCAACTCATTATTCCTCACAGATTTGTATTCTCCAGAGTATCCAGGTCCTTCCCATAGAATAAAAAAGACTGTACAGGTATGTGTATTGTTAATTGATGATAAGATGGGGTAATATTAACAGATACAAAACACATTCTATAAATTATTTTTTATAGATACTTTCCATCTGGTTTGTTATGGACTGAACGTGGTTAAGATCTCTATTAATATGTTCTCTGTGTTATTGTTGTTTTAGTTTCTTAAGTCACGTCCAGCTCTGGAGACCCCATAGATGGTAGCCCGCCAGGCTCCTCTGTCCATGGGATTTCCCAGGCAGCAATACTAGAGCTGTTGCCATTTCTTATGCCAAGGGATCTTCCTGACCTAGGGATCAAACCTGCCTCTCCTGCATTGGCAGGCGGATTCTTTATCACTGAGCCACCTGTACTTCCCCACAAAACATATTCTGTGACTTGCATTTATATATAGGTAGATTTCAAATTTGACCTTAGCCAGTGTAAAGTGTTAGTAAACATGGTGGTTGTTGAAAAAGAAATTGATTGAGAAGTGCATGTAATTAGAGGGACTTTCTTGATTTAGAACCTTATGAATTTGTCTTAAGGATCCTCCTAGAGATTATACTGTGATACAGTAAATGATAACGTTTAGAGTTATGCTGCAATATGGTAACTACTTGCCATATGTAGCTATTTAAGTTTAAATAAGTTAAAAGTCATTGAAGCAAAAAATTCTGTTTCTCAGTTGCACTGGGTACATTTCAAGTAGTAGTATGTGGCAAGTAGCTGCCATTTGGAGCAGTGCAGGTTATCTCCACCATTGCAGAAAATTCTGTTGGACAGGGTACAGAAAACATGACTTGTGTCAAAGCCATTAGTATTTTTTTTAGTGAGTGGCATGATACCACGTGATAGTTAAATGGCAGTAACAATTTGTTAATACTTTAAGCTTTGTGTGGTCTAATTTAGTACTTCTCAATCTTTAATGTGCATTTAGATCATCTGAGGAGCTCGCTAAACTTAGTTCCTGTTCTAGTAAGTCTGAAGTGAGCTGAGATTCAATGTTTCTAACCAAATCCAAGGTGATGCTAATGCTGCTAGCAAAATGTTAGACTCTCTAGTTCTAGTGATATGTTGTCCAGGACAGTAGCTGGTAGTCACATGTTGCTGTTGAGGTCTTAAAATGTGAGATGTCTATGTTGAGATGCAAGTATAAAATATACCCCAGATTTTGAAGTCTTAGTTTGTTTAAAAAAAAACCGACATTATTTTATTAATGAATTTTTCTATTGATTACATTTTGTAGTAATGATTAATTGGTTATATTGGGTTAAGTAAAATTCATTAATTTCATCTGTTGCTACTTTGTAAATTGGCTACTGAAATTTTTAAAATTACTTATGTAGTTCACATTACATTTTTGTTAGGCAGCACTGCTCTAAACTACTGATTGAAAGATTTGTTGGTAGATTGATGCAGTAATACACAGCACATAAGCAGAAAAGGAGTGGAGTGAACAGTTCTAGCAGAAGCATGTCTTATTGAGGCAGTGATGCTGGAGCTGGATATTTTGTTTCTTCTTTTTAAAGTTTTCTTTAAAAAAGTTTTCTTTTTAGGAATTTTTAAAATACCCTTTATGGAGCTTGAGATTTCAAAATACCTGCAAAAAATCTGTGTTCTGAAAACTCGATACTATACTACATTGCTTATTTATTTTGTGATATATTGGATATTTCAACCTAATCAAGAAGATAAACTTTAAACTTTATTAATTTAAGTATATAAATCCAGAATTAGTAACTAGTTATATAGAAATGTTAAGGAAACCCCACAGTGTAGATTCCTAAGTTCAGGAATACTTAGTGTAAAATGTCTGTTAAGTATTAATGGTCATATATCTACCAGTGGTGTTCTTAGCAGTTAGTACTGGTGAGGAAACTTTCTGAGTCCTTTTTGTAGTTTGTTAGCACGTGGCATAATGCAAGGTCGACATTAATAATAAAACAACACTTTATAAATCATTAACATCTTCCAGGTACTATTCCAAACACTTTAGATGCATTTATTTAATTCTTGCAGTAATTTTTTCAGGTAAATGGTGTTATTATCCCTATTTTACAGATGTGGAAATTGAGGCACAGAGATATGCCTAAGGATCATGTAGTTAGCCTACCAGAACAAGGATACAAATCTAAGCACTATGGTTTAGTCTGTATTGTATAAAACTATGCTATCTCTCTGTAGAACCTTAATAAGTGTTAGTTTAGTAGATTAACGAGTTCTTAATATGTGGATTAGCTTTACTTTTTAATGATGTTTGGTCCAAAAAATTGTCATTTTTCTTTCATTTATGTTGCCTTTTCCTTGAAAAATCTTACGTATGGAGATAGATTTTCCAGTTAGGCAGTTTAGACAAACTGAATTGATCTGTGAGGTTATTTCTTCACAGTTAGGTAATATATGAGTTTAGTTTTAAAAAATGGAAAATTAGGTCATAAGGTAAAAAATGGAATTAAGTCTTAAGGCTGATCTATCTGATGCTAGCTAGTAAGGAATACCTGGTGTTTTTACTTTTAAATGGTACACACATGATATTCATTATTGCTTATTATATTTGAATTTTCAAGCTGGACTCTGGAGGGTATTGACTGACCATTATGTACTAGGTTTGAAATTGTAGTAAACTTCTTGGTGGATGATGGAAGCCAATTAATCATTAAAGTTTCATACCTTACCATATTTTATTGTATTTTATTTAAACAAAATAGGCAAGTGGACAGTATTTTTAGCTCTTTGAATTCACCCAGTGCAGTGATTGTTGCAAGTGTCTCAACAGATGAAGTGTATTGACACTTGGCAATCTAAGGAATTCAACACATGGAAATCTAGTTTAACATACTTTGCAACAAAGTATTTGCTCAAACAAGGAGAGTTTGCTTTACCCCCATCCCTCTTCCCCCTCCCCACCCCCACCCCCACCCCCAACCTAGTTCTTACACTTTAGGCTTATCCTGATTTGGCCAAACCAACCTCTTTGCTGTCCTTTGAGCAGGCTGATCTCTTCCACTCCAGGGGCCTTCCACTTTGTTTCTCTGCTTGCAGTGGTTTTCCTTGAGATATCTTCATGGCTTGCTTCCTAATTTTCATCAGTTCTCTGTTTAAAAGTTACTTTCTTAATGAAGCCTTTCTTGACCACTCTATAAACTCTGTAAGGGTAGGGACTCCTTTTTATTCACCCTTACAAGCTAAGTTCCTAGCACTGCATCTGTTAAATGTTAACATCCAGTATTTGTTGACTGACTGAACAAACAATTTTTAAAAATTTGTTTGAGGATCTTTGAAGTTTTGTTTCTACTTTGTTTTTGGTCTGAAATTTTATAAAACACTATCATAGATTAAGTGGAATGATTTCAAATTTGAGAATCTTTGAAATTTTAAATTTGATCTTTTTTGAAATTTTGTTGATTATTTTTGTCTTAAGCAGAATTATTTTGCATTTAATTTTTAAGTTGCTGTGTAGTTTGTATACTAAAAGGGCACAAATTTAAGCATAGAACTTGGTGAGTTTTATATATGTATTCATATATCTGGGTTTCCCTGGTGGCCAGTGGTAAAGAATCTGCCTGCCAAAGTAGGAGACATGGGTGTGATTCCTGCAGAAGGAAATGATGACCCACTCTAGTATTCTTACTTGGGAAATCCTGTGGATGGAGCCTGGTGGGCTACAGTCCATGGAGTCACAAAAAGTTGGACATGACTTGGTGACTAAACAGCAGCATTAATTCATATATCCAAGTAACCACTTCCCAGATTAAGATACAGTATTTTTCTAGGAACCTGGAAGGCTTCCTTGTGTCTTCTCTCACTCAATATTACACCCACCCCACTTAAAAACACCTTTCCGACATCTCCATAGATTAATTTTTCTGTTCTTGAACTTCATTTAGATATATTCTTAAGTCTGGTTTCTTTCACTGAGGATTATGTGTGTGGTATTTATTCATGTTGTATAGCTGTAGTTCTTTTTATTGTTTTATAATATTCTACTATATGACTATATCACAGCCTGTCCTCTTCATTGTAGATAAGCATATGGGTTTTCAGTTTTTGACTGACATAAATGTTCTTGTATATATCTTTTGGTGGACATAAGTATTCATTTCTGTTGTGTATGTGTTATGTATGTGCACCTATGTGTATACATAAAGACATTTCATTTTTCCCCCTTTGATTTCTTAAAGATTGAACATGTCTTTTATACTCATAAATTGTTCAGATTTCATGAAGTGTTTTGACCATCTTAATACTTCCTATTTTTTCCTTCTTGAGATTTGCAGATGTTTCTTATCGAGATAACAATCCCTTACATTTCATTTATTGCAGGTAGTTTCTCCTAGGCTGGAATCTGTTAAAAGATGGGAGAAGCTCTCAATTTGTCAGAATTATATTTATATTGGTCTGTCTCCAGAATAATGCTGTCTTAAACTCACTTTGCCTTCTTTTAAGGTAACACTTCAAAGGTTACCTTAACCTTCTGTTTTGAATGTTTTCCCAGCTCTCCCTTTTTTGAAAACAAAGGCATAATTAGACTAAGGCTATCTCTACTAATATTTTTAAGACAAAGGCCTGTGTACCACTATTAAATCTCCTCCTTTTACCAAAAGTGAGACCTTTAACATTTGAGAACTAGATTGATGCTTATTGAAATCCCAGAGAAGTCCTCTTTCTTGACGTACCATGGAGGTATCCTTTGATATACTGGAAACAAGATGAAGGTCATCTGAACTCTTTTCTCCACTTATCTAGGAGAGAACATGACATGTTCCTAGTCATTCAGTTGTTAGAGAATAGAATGTAATTTTCTTTTACAGTTGAGTGGTTTTTCACCAAGCTCAATAATCTAGCAGATGATCTGCTCTTGGAAGCTTTTAAATTCTCTCAGTGAAGAGTGATTAGAAGTATTACATCTTAGCCCAGACATATTAGACCAGGAAAAACATACAATCCTGAGTTTCAAAAAGCAAATGTCTGCAATTTCCCTGACCTGAAGGCTTTCTGGAACACTTCCAACTGTCAAAAA